TCAGATCGATGCAGCACGGCTTGAGTGGTACACGCTTCCGAAATGTTGAAGAAGTGCGAGAATGGGTGGACGAATGGATTGCTTCGAAACAAACATCGTTTTATCGAGATGGTATCGCCCAGTTGCCAGAAAGATGGCAAAAAGTTGTAGAAAGTGATGGAAAATACTTTCATTGAAATAATTTAAATAAATTTTTTACAATAAATGCTTTTTCTCAGTATTTTTTGGGCGGAAACTAAGTTAGGGTCCTAATACAATTTAATCCACATTATTTTTATATGTTGTATAAAAAAATATGTTGCACAGATATTATCGTGTTTTAACGTTACGAATGCAATATAATATATTGCTACAGAGAAAATTTATTAAAAATGATACGAAAATATAGAAAACCTATTAAGTATATTTCAAATATACAACCTGAAATGTACGAACTAAAAGACGATTAAATCAGATAGATTTTCTATCTGACTTCTATCAGAATTTTGTAAGCATAGTTGCAACTATTATCTTTATGATATCTTTTTAAGTGACAGCCAATTGATCTCTCGTTACAGATACCTTAACATTATTTGGTTTCTTATATTTCCATAACGAATAATGTTACGGCGTATGCGATTTGGTTTCTGTTCGGAAAGTAGCCAACATTATCTGTTATGAGAGATCAAACTGATATTATTTGGCATGATATCACAAAGAGAACATTTTCGAGACATCTCTCTAAAAGGATAACTGTGCGAGTTCTTTTAATAGATGTCTCGGGACATGATGATTATTCCATATAATTTAGACATTATTTCCGATATATCAAAATGCGTTCTAAATTAAGTTGTCTTTCAGTTCTCAGTCTGACAAGAGTGTTGATTGGGAAAGATCTAGGTTGCGTTCGAGGAGACGCTGTTTAGCGCTATGTACGTTGTAGTTCTGTGGGACGAATGGTCTGCAACAATACAGCAGACATGGCTAATGAAATGTAATACATTTAAGTGCCTATTAAATAAAAATGCAACAATAGATGCAATAAATAGAACAAATCCTTCGGATAAGTGGAACACAATACATATAAAAAATATCTAGGACTTTTCAGTAAGTAAATCATTTTTTTCAGTAAGTAAATCATTTTTTTAGTCTTATATATATACACATCCCTTATAGAAATGTCATACTAAGAATCATTGATAATTACTTATTTTCAGTATTGAAAATATTGGATAATTATTTATTATGTATAATAAGTAATTATCAATGATTCTTAGTATGATATTTCTATAAGGGAGGGTGAGGAATTTGAATTAAGATAACAAAATGTATGAAAAATAAAGCAAAATAAAAAGAAATGTTTTCACACAAAAGTTGTAGGATTTCAAAGGAAATGTATTGTCACAATATATTAATACTACATATATATTACCATTTAGATACATACGAAGAAAGTATAGCTATTGAGAAAAATATTTCCAATATATCTACAAACGATGAAGAAACGCTCGCAGATATAAGTATAGAAATCAATAATAATGCAAAGAAGCGAAAAGTGATAAAACCATCTCGTTACCGCAATACTAGTGACTCATCAGAAGAAAATAACGAACCACCAGGTATTATTTTTTATATATATGATATATTTTAAGATTTAGCTGTAATTATGAATACTTTGTTGAACAACTTTTTCCTTCAAAATGTGTGCGTGAGCACACACACTTGACAATTTATTACACTATATATTCATATTCTGACTTTATACTTAGGATTCTTTAAGGTTCCTAGCCCCTTGCATTGTCTATCTCTTTTTTAATGACGTCAGAAGCGAGAAAATGCATGTTAACAATTCTTGCGAAATATGTTGAAATAAAAATATTTATGCATAAAGTAGCACTTCCGATCGATTAGACAAATTTGTAAGATATTCCGTGTACTCCTCTTTTGCTATAAAATCTATAATTTATTGTAAATGAATCCCAATAGAAATAGGCGAAGAAATAGGTTAAGAAGATGAATTGTATGTCATGGTAATGTACGACAAATTATTGATTGTTAGAACAAAAGGAGAGTGCATGGAATATTTTACAAATTGTTCAATTGAATGCAAGTGTTACTTTATGGATATATCGTTCTATTTCAACGTATTTCGCAAGAATTGTTAGCATGCATTTTTTTCGCTTCTGATGTCATTAAAAAGACATACACAAGGGAGCGGTGCACTTGGACACAGTGCATTTGGACACAGCCAATCACAGCACCGTGTGATTAGAGACATTTGTAGGGTCCCTTGGAACAGCGACTTGTGATTGGACTGTCCAACTGATATACATCCCATACACAATGTGAGAAGTCAGGAGCCTTAAATTATGATATGAAGATTTTATGAACTATTCCGAAGACTGTTAACGTCTTCAGGTGGTATTTAAAATAAAAACAATATTTGAATACTGACTATAGTGACTATACTGACTATATTTTTACTTTAAATGGTCAGTAAAATAATCTTATTAATTTGATTAATGTTTTGTAATTAGTGAGAGCCAAGATGTCAAAGTTATCTTGTGAACTGTATGTTAAAAAAACATCCATAACAATGGGAGATGAATCAAATAAATTATATATGTTATATAAATTTTTTTTCTTATATATAAGCGTATACACTACAAATAGTTACAAATATTTCATAAATAAATGAATGAATTAATGAATGAATAATTTAATACATGAATTTTAGATTTCCCAAAGGTTCATACAAACTACAAATCACCTTATGTACAAAACATTAATGAAGAGAACGTACAAGAAGTATCAATTGAACCGTTGGAATATTCTTTAGAAAAATCGGCATATGTGGGTCAATATGCAAAAATAAATTATAGAAAAACATTTTACCATAAAGGTAAGAACAAATTTTCTTCAACGTTTACTGAAACTTCATAGAATTTTTTTTATAATTTTTAACTTTATTTTATAAGATGCTTTACGGTTTGCGATAAATTTTTCGACTAAATTATACGGAAGTAGTTGATAAGTAGTATTTGTACTTTGTATAAGTAATATTTGTACTTTATAAATTTAGTATTTTGTAGTTGTATAAGTAGTATTTGCTAATCGAGTACGTTCTCCCCATACACGTAATCCCAAAATTATTGTATAATATTTAATATTGTAAAGAAAATATCTAGGTCAAAATAACTTTTGTAATTATTAACAAATGAATTTGACAGATAAATAGATTTATCCGTACAATACAGTTTATATTAATAAATGAATATTAATTTTGACATTTTTGGATTGGTTAAAGTATAATGTAATATATTTGTACGTTGAACTTTTCTTACAAACATTAACATTAAACATTTTAATATTGTGATAAACGAAAACTTTCAATAATGTAATATAGAATAGGAAAGGATTTTCTATCTTTTTTCTATTGTATTTTACAATATTACATTATTGTACGATATTTTTATGACAGCATATAGATATGATATTTGACACGAAGTGTGTTAAAAATCATGTGAACAGGAACATTACATGAAACTAGCAAACGTTCTACCATTGTGTGAATAAGCACGTAAAATGTAGAGTTATTAATTAAAGAGGATTGGCGAATAATTGTGTGAATAATCACGCGCGATACGGCACATGAGTCGCGATAGCGATGCCTGCCGTCGTGTATTTGCAGATTAGATCAAACAGAATAAAAAAGTTCTGTACTATTTTGTAACAAATCATGTACATTTTTCATTATTAATGAAAGAAGATTGGTACATGATTGTACAATAATGCACCAACTTACTGTAATTAATAAGTACAAATTTATTGGCAATGTGGTAGAGGACTTTTTGTGCTATTTGATCTTATCTACAAACACACTAAGCCAGATGTCGCTATCGCAACTCATCCTTTTTGCATTAATTAACAATTCAAAATTGTACGTGCTTGTTCGCAAAATAGTAGAGGAATTTCTTTTTCTGTTTTATCTAATCTACCTGTATACGCGTTTATATAAATATTGATAATATTTACACCGAGATCATTAATTTGATTAGAAAACATTTTATTGACTAAAAATTATTTTGTTTCCACATGTAATTAGATTGTAGTGAAACAGGAACATTTCTGAAACGATTTAAAAACTATACGTCTGATACTGCTACCGATATTTCTCAATCATCAAAAGTATGCACACAAATCAGTACTTATTCTGGACAATATTGACCAAGATAAAATAGTAAAGATAAACAGGTATGACAAATATATTTATTTACAACTTAACAGTATATTTGATTACGGTTATTACAATTATTTATTACAATATTTATAAACATTTACAATGTTTTATTGTTTTTTTGTTATAATATTTATACGTAATATTTTAAATTTGTAACTGATACTTAGTTTTGCAATAATTTTAATAGACTTACTTCCTGAAATAACTGTTGAAAGAAATGTAACAAAAAATGCAACGAATTTTGAAAAAAAGGATGAATCTCATAACGAATTATGTGGTAAGTGTGTAATAATTTTTCAATAATATACAGGATGTTTCTTGCATATTTTTCATTTATTCTTTATAACGGTACTCCGTATCAAATGTTAAATCACAGTCAACAATTTCTTCCCACGAAATGCACGTATGTTAGAAACTACAATGAAATTAAAAATATTAATTTTAATCATATAATTTTATTTAATTTGATTGCTGTTTGTAACATGCGTGTACTTCGCGCCTCAGTAGGCAGTTTTATAATGCAATTACGCATTCACCAGTTATACTCCATTGAATCTATTCCATTGAATGTATTATAAGTTAAACTGCAATTATGTCTTGTAGAATAAAAATCTACTCCGTCTATTATCGTGCGCGCGCGTATTCCCTTATAGAATTATCAATGATTCTCAGTATGATATTAGGTGCGCAACTAAGTTCTCGCTGTTTTTTTTATGAAAATGCAACTTTATTGTGAAAAAATGGTTACAAATGAATCATTCAAAGTATTGCCCATCGCTAGCTACAACTTTTTCCCATCTTTCTGGCAGAGCTCAAATACCGTTACGGTAAAAGCGTTCGTCTTGTAAGGCTATCCACGAATCAAGCCATTTTTTTATGTCTTCATATGAGCGGAACTGCTGATCAGCCAGACCATGTGCCATCGAACGGAACAAGTAATAATCGGACGGCGCAATATCTGGGGAATATGGCGGGTGGGGTAGGACTTCCCATTTGAGCGTTTCCAAGTAGGTTTTAACGGGTTTGGCAACATGAGGCCGAGCGTTGTCATGCAGTAGAATCACTTTTTCGTGCCTCTGCTCGTATTGTGGCCGTTTTTCGCGCAGTGCTCGGCTCAATCGCATCAATTGAATTCGATACCGTTCCCCAGTGATGGTTTCGTTCGGTTTCAACAGCTCATAATAAATAACACCGACCTGGTCCCACCAAATACACAGCATAACCTTCGCAGCGTGAATATTCGGCCGAGCCGACGACGTAGAAGCATGACCGGGCAGTCCCCATGACTTTCTTTTCTTTGGGTTGCTGTAATGAATCCATTTTTCATCACCCGTCACGATGCGATGAAGAAAACCCTTCCTTTTTGCCGCTGGAGCAGTTGTTCAGGCGAAAAAACAAGGCTCAACGTCCCTTGGCTTCAAATCATTAGGAACCCAAGTTCCTTGCTTTTGAATCATTCCCAACGCATGCAATCGCTTGGAAATGGCTTGGCGGGTAACTCCTAATGCTGAAGCAAGCTGTTCTTGCGTTTGGCACGGATCCTCATCGAGCAATGCCTACAATTCAGCGTCTTCGAAGGTTTTTGGCCTTCCTTCACGCGGACGGTCGTCAACATCGAAATCACCGTCTTTGAAGCGACGAAACCAATCACGGCACGTTGTTTCACTTAGAGCAGCATCTCCGTAAACTTTTTGGAGCTCTCGATGCGCTTCAGCCGCTATTTTCTTCGAATGAAATAAGAAAATCAACACTTCCCGCAAATGACGATTATTTGACACAAAATCAGACATTTTCACACAACCAAAAGTATATGACGCCAAAACAAAATCACTAACGTGTCAAAGCGGTTTGTTTACCATATGTCTAAGCTTGGTTCATGACGTTTTGGATATGTCAAAATCGACCAGCACTTACTGCTGGAGCCATCTATTGACAAACAGCGGGAGCTTAGTTGGGCACCTAATATTTCTATAAGGGTTCACCATGTAATTGCAATAACAGTTATTAAATTTTCTAATTTTGCATTTATAGGAGGTTGTCGCAATGACTTACACAAAATTATGCGAATGTTGGCTACAATCCCACAATTACTATTAAACATACATCCAAATTTTGCACAAGACTATAATATTAATCTAAATTTGCCGATTGCGACAGTCGAAGAATTGCAGGATTTCAATAAATTGATTACAGATAACTCTGCAGCAAAATTGCAATATGTAAGTCTTCAGCACCATTTCAATATTTATATATTCAAAATATTTGAATAATATTACAAAACAACATGATTCTTTTCATAGGTGAAATTAATTCGGAACATGGGAGGAAAAAATCCAGAACAGCATGTAAGGAACGTTCTTAAACTTAGTTTGACTAATAAAGTATCTTATAAACTTTCATGGACTGGCCTAAGAAACACTATAGAAACCAAATGCATGAAATTTATTGACGTCATTACCAGTATCCATTTATTCCGCACAGCTTATATATTTAAGACTTCTGGTCATTTACCTCAAATACACTGTATTTCAGGAACGACAAAAAATATACTGAAAATTCTTGTATACCCAACTAGAAGGATGAGGTCAAAAAACGTATTAACGACGCAATAAATATGAATCTAACGTCAATATAACGTGTAGAAGATCAATGTAACGTCGCCCTGCTATTTAGGTATCAATTCCAAAAAAATTTTTATATACAATAACATTCCCTACCGCTCTTCTACATACTTGCTTAATATCTCGAAAACTATTCTTTTTCTTTGACGATCAATACATACCTGTAAATAAAATGTGATATGTTATCTAGTTAGAAACTAAATGGAACATAAACTTAATATTTATTGTTTGCATTAATTTTTCGAGTACCATTCTCGACTATTTATTCATTTTTAAAGTAAAAGAAGAGAATTTTCAAAGTATTTTCAAGTATTCAGAAACTGCCGGAAGTAGAATTTCATACAAATTTATTTTTATTTAGATTTTAAATTTATTTTTATTTAACACACAAGAATTTTCAATGTCTTTTGTAGTCTCTGACATTATCAATCATGAGATTTGTTGACCACGAATCTTAAGTATGACATTAATTTCCCTTTTTTTAATTCCTAATGCACACTTCACAAACTCTTGGAAATGTAATTCCTTCATAGTTTATAATATTTTAATTTAAAAAATGTCATTACAACGTTAATAATGATAATCATTGTTTGCAGGTACAATTTTGGAAATGTATGAATCAAAAATTACTTTATTTTCCACTCAAAAAATTATGAAAATATGATTATAGCATGCTGGAGATAGAATTAATACCGCTGAAAAAAAACACAAACAAAACTAACACAGTCGTGATGTCGAAGAAGAAAAGTATTTCCCAGTAATATTATTTTTATAGAAGTTATAGCTTATATTGAATGTTGTCTATTTTTTGTAGTCGAGAAATTTTCTCGAAACATGTTATGACAATTTAGATATTTTAACTTTTCAGACACAAGTGGAGTTGCAATATATGTACAATAGTTTTTACAAAGTGAAAATAATAAAAACTATTAAATAAACATTCGAATTATATCAAATCTCTTAATATACCTTTGACTTTGAGAGACTGACAGCTGTACCATTTGGTACAGTAACATTGTTTCTCTCTGTAGTCGCCGTGCGCTCGGGATCGCGCCAGAGATGTCGCTTCCGAACGGCATCTCTGAGCGTTATCTAGGAAGAGGAGAATGTCGTGAGCGTGGAGCGTCAGGTAGCTCAGTGGTTTA